AAGGAAAAAAAATTTCTGAGGAAGATTGAAAAAATTTCGGCCGTAACGGTCTTTATTGGTATCATCAAATATATAGTTTGAAAAAATCTAATGATGGAAAGTGAATGGCTTGTGTTGAAGAGGAAGGCTAAGTAGGGCCTTTGTTCGTAGCAAAGGGATTATCATAATTATACTGCGCTCCCTGATATTATCTTTTAACAAACGTAAGACCTAAATATCAACCGCAGCTACAGAAGTCAATAAGTTTGTTGAGTTCAATAGCTGAAAAGATAAGTAAAATATCGTCTTTTTTTTCTAAAAAAGGAACAAACTTTTATGGCTAAAAGCTGTTGAAGCTATAGATGCAAAAGAAAAATGACATAGCCTTATGGAGTCCTTTGTCTATAATGAGACAAGCCAATGCGCCGGATATGACTATAGAAAAAGTTCCTGCACTAAGGCAACTGTGTGTCCCCTCCTATACACGCACATTTGCCCTTAAAAACAATCGAACAGCCTTTTAACGATGAGATTTATGACGGCAATGAAATTCTAATAATATGCATGTATACGTGCTTTAACTGAAATGTAATACAAGTAATTTCATGCTTTCCTTAATATTCTGACGCTCATACTACGTAACGCTTATAGAGGAAAAAACTTACGCCCTTAAAACAACTACATATGCAATTTTTGAGAATTTATTCTTTTTTTTGCAGAAGACCAGCATATGACTCGAGACCTGTAACACCAGCACTTAGCCTAAGTGGACGTTATACACCATACGGCCAAGAATCATCCTATGCCACTTATCCCTATAGGAGGTAAGTCAACGCCTATGTTAAATTGTTACAATTTATCGAACTTGTGAAGAATTTCAAGTATTTTCACTACGGTTCTCTGTGCGTTGTCCATTTGGGAGCAGATAACACTTTTTCATAAAAGTTGAATTAACAGAGTCTCATGCCTCAAGATAGAGAGAAATTTTTTTTTTTGTGGTGGTTGATACAATTGTGCGCTACAATTCCCTAAACCAATCAAAATTGCATGAGAAAAAGAGGCTCGCTTCAATATTTTATTTTGATTTTTAAAATTTTGCCTGCCAGTGGGTGACAAAACCGTGGCCTGCCGCGTCGCGTTGGGTTGAAAAGCGGCAGGCCGCGGTTCTGTCACCCACTAAGTTTGCCGTGAATATATAATCGGTTCCAAAATTGAGAATATTTACACGATATAAGGATAGAAAGATCTTAAGGAGATTAAGCGAAGAATTTTGGTTTGGAATATTCAAAATGTGGTTATTTAGAGAATATTCATCTACCTAACACTTTGAAAAGGTTTTCAACAACGGTAACCCTCTAAATTCATTTTCGTATGCCAAGGTTACACAGAGTCTTACCAAATTTTACATCATGGGATTATCTCGCAAAAATGCACTTTTGATCTCCGTTTTTCGAACTTGCAGTTGTTTGAAAAACTCTACTCACAGGTAGAGTAGATTTCAGTGTAAATCACTGAAAGACACGGGGCTACCCGCTGCCTAGTCATTTGTAGACTGAAAACAACAGTTGTGAGGAAGTGGGTGTGTGCTGCTCAGTGCAAACACTATTACGCTCTATTTTGCAAGACAATTTGTGCCTCAAAGAGTGGAAAAAAGAACTAGGTTTGAATGATTGATGTGGAAAACATTGAACTGCACCCCCCGTTGCAGAAACAGCTCTCTCATTGCTTTTCAAATCATTGCTTTGCCATTGTTCTCGTTATCTCTTTGTTTTCTTACTTTGTCCGTGGCATATAGTTGGTCCGCCTTGAATTGGGCCTAATTTAATGTAAGTTTAAATTTTGCGACATAAATCAAAGTGGGTAAAGACGAGTTTTGGCCTATACTACTTAGGGTATGCATACGATATCAGCAGGTTTATCACTGTTCTTATCATCTTGGAATTCTTCCTCAATTCATTCTCTTTCAGTCCTTTCCTTTCTTCCTTTTCTTTTTTTCCGCTCTTGATTTTTTCTTACAAAATTAATATATGTAAAAATAACCTTTTAGATGTGAAAAACTTTTGATTGATTAGCCCTGCACTAGACGCAGCAAAAAAAATTATACACGTAATTAAAGATGTTTTATATACTTTCCCATAAACGGCTAAACTGTCAAGTTACAGCCTAAAAATAGCTTCAATTTCCGTAGAAAACGAATCAAATTTCAAAGGCCGCGGTTAGTCCTGACTAGAAGATTTGCGTCAGAGACTTCTAAATCGACGTGTGCGCTCATCTACTATATCATTAGATACAAAAATAGCATGAATCTAAAGAACATTCTATGTCGCATTGGAGCTACAATTATTCTTGTACAAATCCCGTCATAAGGTTCTCCTCTTTGTAGCAGAGAAATTAGTTCCCGTGTGTACTCGGTAGCCTTCAAAGTGTTACTCGCTTTTAGTGAAATTACTCAACAATTACAGAATGTACCCACTGCTCAAATTTTGTGAGCAGGGTGGGAGAACTAGTCCCCAAATAACAAGTACGGGTCAAGAGAATAAAGTTGTTAGGAAATAAAATAAATTATGAAGCTTTTTACAGCAACGTATGAGCTTAAAATGTAAAGATTGGAATTTTTCGAAATGAACATATTTGAAAATTATTTAGAATAGTAGATTAGGCGTATATTTCAAAAAAAACCCTGTTAACAGTAAAATTCTTCTCAAGCCCAAAATTTTTTTCCCATTGCTTAATATTTCATTTCGCTTCAAACTTATCTTATCAAGTCTTCTGAATATTTAATTATAATTTC